GTTTGCTTTACACCCGAATGCAACCGAAACTTCCATAACGGCTGGCAGAAGTCACTTCGTGTCTGCCATCGGTGAATAGTAAAAAGAGATAGCAAACTATACTTTCTCTTTCTAAGAAAACGATGTGCAACGGAATCATTTTTATGTTGCGTTAACTCTCAGCTTGATTTTTGCACGTTGTGAATAGTCTCGCAATATCAAAGGAGCTTGTAAAATCAATATCACGCGTGATATTGCGCGCGCATGAGAGCGGAAAAATATCAATTGATTGCTGATTTTGCCAACACTGCTCAAAAGCATGCAAAAATCTGAAGGTAGCGGGGATTCATTGAAAAAGCCGAACAAATCGGTAATTGCTGCTCCATCTGATCCTTGTTGCAACTATTCCACCCCGCCGCTACCTAATAAAGGTAATCGTAAGAGGTTACCAAAAACAAACACCACGTCTACTCACAATTCAAAGAAAACTCTCCCGTCCAAGCGAGGAAAGATTAAATTTAAGGACATTGTGGATAATATTTTGAGGGCTTATTGACCTGCTTGTTCCTATAGTGGGAAACTACTTCAAGCAATTGACTGTATCATGGCCCCTCATTGGTGAATTCATATCTTTCGATGGATAATTCGTCGAGTGAGGATCAATACATATATGATCACTTTATTACAATGGAACTGTCGTAGTTTAATACCTAAATTAGACTCGTTCAAGTATTTGATTGCACTCTGTGGAACTTGGCTTTCTTCTGAAGATGAACTAAACTTCCACGATTTTAACATTATCCGCCTGGACCGAGATGATTCATATGGTGGCATACTTTTGGGGATCAAAAAGTGCTACTCCTTCTATAAAATCTCAATCCCAATAATTTCAGGCATTGAAATTGTCGCATGCCAAATAAATGTGAAAAACAAAGATCTTTGCATAGCTTCTATAAATGTCCCTCCAAGGACTTCCATAAAACGCCGTCAGCTTTGGAGTTCAGTTAATATCCTTCTATCTCCAGTTCTAATACTGGGCGATATGAACTCACACGGTACTGGTTGGGGCGAAACATCTTCTTCTTCTTCTTCTTCTTCGCATTTCAAACTTATTGCACATCGCATATTAGCTTATTGCGTGCTCTCAACTTAGTGTTCTAGATGCACTTCCACAGTTATTAACTGAGAGCTTTCGATGCCTGTACCATTTTTGCATTGGTATAATTGTTTTAATTGGTTCAATCATACTTCTATGCCCAGGGAAGTCGAGAAATTTTCCAACCCGAAAAGTTCCTAGACCGGACCGGGAATCGAACCCAGTCACCTCCAGCATGGTCTTGCTTTGTAGTTGCGCCTTTACCGACTGAGTTAAGGAAGGCCCAAGAGCGAAACATACGATGACAATAGTATAGCAAACCCTCCTGCTCGAGAGAGCCGTCTTGACATATCTTTGTGCTCTAACTCACTATCATTAGATTGTCTGTGGAAGGTTATTAATGATCCCCATGGTAGTGATCACTTACCAATTATTATTTCAATCAAAAGTGGTCGTCTAAAAACAGATCAGTCAATTCAAGTTCCTTTTGACCTCACGAGGAACATTGATTGGCAAAAATTTGTATCGGCGGTGACTCTTGGTATTGATTCTACCGATCCTCTACCACCACTGGAAGAGTATCGTTTCTTTACTGAACTAATCTACAAAAGCGCACTAGAAGCTCAGAAACGACGTGTTCCAAGTGCATCGCTCAAAAGAAGAACCGCCACCCCTGGATGGGATGACGAATGCACAAAGTTGTATCTTAAGAAATCCGATGCCTTTAAAGATTATCGTAGACATGATGAAAGATCTGAGCTTTTTGAAAAGTATCTAAAGCTTGAAAAAAAAAACTTAAAACTTACTAAAAGCAAGGAAACGAAATTACTGGCGTACTTTTATCGAGTGACTTTCTAGAGAAACCTCAATGACAACGATTTGGAAAAAGGCTCGCTATATGCGGAACCGTCACCGACTTCGCTAAAAAGGTTTGTCCAGATTCTGTTCCAGCACAACCAACTTTACGGGATACAGCCCGAAGTAACGGTTCTCCGGATGAACCATTCACAATACTGGAATGTTCAATGGCACTTCTTTCATCGAATAACTCTGCTCCGGGAACCGATATGATCAAATTCGACCTCCCCGATATCGCTAAAAGACGATTACTTAACCTATATAATTCATTTATGGAATTCAATATAGTTCCACCAGCATGGAGACAGGTTAAAGTACTAGCTATTCAAAAGCCTGGGAAATCAGCGTCTGATCACAATTCTTACCGTCCGATCTCTATGTTATCATGCCTAAGGAAATTATTAGAAAAAATGATCCTATTAAGACTTGACCATTGGGTTGAATCAAACAATCTACTTTCAAATACGCAATTTGGTTTTCGAAAGAGTAAAGGAACAAACGATTGTCTAGCATTCAACTGGCCTTTGCGCACAAGGAGCAATTGGCTTCAGTCTTTTTGGATTTAAAGGGCGCATTTGATTCTGTTTCCATAGACATACTGTCAGACAATTTGTACAGTAGTGGATTACCCGGTATTTTGAATAATTTCTTGTATAATTTGCTGTCAGAAAAACAAATGACCTTCAATCTAGGTCAACTGACAACTTCTAGAATTAGCTACACGGATAGAAATCTCCTTATACCTTTTGGCAAATTTCTATTGCTGATTATTCATAAAATGTATAAGTCAACTAATATGCAGGCGCCTTGTAAAAAGTTAATGAATATCATGTGTCAAATCAAATGTATAAGCGGTCACACATATCTTTTATGCATTCTTATAGGACCTATGTGGTTGTATAATGGAATGTATAAGGCTGATGTTTTGGCAAAAATGTATAAGTTAAACACATGAATAAAATAATTGATTTTCGTTTCGTGTACATGGGCTTACCCCAAGGTTCATGTTTAAGTCCCTTACTTTATAATTTCTATGTCAAAGATATTGATAACTGCTTAGATAATTTATGCACGCTTAGACAGCTTGCAGACGATGCCGTGGTTTCCATGAGAGGTCCACGTGCGGAAATCTAGCAAGGACCATTGCAAAATTTTCTAGATAATATGCCCTTTTGGGCCAGAAATTTGGGGATCGAGTTTTCCCCGCAAAAAACTGAATTGGTAGTGTTTACAAGGAAGCGGTTTCCAGCCCAACTGCGTCTAAATCTTTTGGGCAGAGACATTACCCAATCTTTAACCTTCAAATACCTTGGAGTCTGGTTTGATTCAAAATGCACTTGGGGTTCCCACATTACGTATTTGAAACATAAGTGTCAACAAAGGATCAACTTTCTACGATCAATTTCCGGGACATGGTGGGGTGCTCACCCGGAAGACCTCATTAAACTATATAAAACGACGAAGTTCTTGAGTATGGCTCTTTTTGCTTCCTCTCGGTAAGAAAAAGCCACCTAATCAAATTGGAACGTATTCAATATCGTTGTTTACGTATTGCACTTGGCTGTATGCATTCAACACACAATATGAGCCTAGAGGTCCTAGCGGGCGTAAAACCCCTGCAGAACCGTTTCTGGGAGCTCTCATTAAGAATATTGATTAAATGTAGTGTCAGTAGCAACCTTAAGATTGAAAACTTCGAAAAAAATGCTCAAATTGAGCATCCAGTCTAGATTCTTGCGAATCTATCTTAATTATATGTCATCGGATATTAGCCTTCCTTGCTATAACCCCTCTCGTGTATGCTTTACTAACTACAGTTCCCCCATTGACTATGATCTCTCCATGAAACAGGCTATTCAAGGAGTTCCAGATCAACTTCGACCTAATTCAATTCCCCGCATTTTTGCTGAAAAGTACCAACAAGTCAATTGCAATAGAAGATTTTTCACTGATGGATCACGCATTGATGGATCCACTGGCTTCGGCGTCTTCAACGAATACTCAACCGCCTTTCGGAAACTTCAGGAACGTTTATGTTGCTCAGCTAGCAGTAATCAACTTGATTACTTAAAAGATATAACTTGATTTCCGATATGCCCATAGACCATTACTTCATCTTCTCGGATAGTTTCAGTTCGATTGAGGCTATTCGGTCGATGAAACAAGGTAGGGACTCATCATATTTCCATTCAAAGGTATGGGAGCAGATGAGTTTGCTGGTCAAAAGATCATATATGATTACCTTTGTATGGGTCTCCTCACATTGCTCAATCCCAAGCAATGAGAAGGCAGACTCTCTCGCAAAGGTGGGTGCACAACAAGGCGAGATTTATGATAGAAGAATTTCACATGATGATTTTTTCCCATTAGTACGTCAGAGTTCTCTTTTAAGTTGGCAAAACGATTGGACAAGTAATTCTCTTGGGCGGTGGTCACATTCCATTATTCCAAATGTTTCTTCGAGAGCGTGGTTCAAAGGTCTGGATGTAAGTCGGGGATTCATTCGAGTGATGTCAAGATGTCCAACCACTACTCGCTAGACGCACATCTCTATAGAAAAAACCTCGTTGACAGCAATATATGTAGGTGCAGAACCGGTTATGATGACATCGATCACGCAGTTTGGTATTGCCCGGGTAATGACGCCTCCAGAGCACGACTATTGGATACCCTAGTGGCCCGAGGTAGACAACCCTTCCGTGAAGTAAGAGTTTAATGTGACCATCCCATCCTTTCCAAACAATTTCCCGCCATTGTGTCCCAGTCTTATAATCCTCCTGTTCCTAAGCTACTTGCCCCTGCCCAGCCAGGATTTGGTCAACCGTCCGAGAGTAGTATCTGAAGGAGGCTTCAGAAACCAGTTTCCTACCTAGCTCCTTCCAATCGAAATTGTTACCCATTAACCTCGAGCCCGCCACGAGTAATTGGTACCCAATACTAATCTAGAACTACTGCTATTTAAAATGTGAATTCAAACTGAGCCTAGTAAATAAACGAACTAGTAAAAAAAAAAAAAGATTCCATTGTAGCAAGATTGAATCAATAAAAGGTTAATTATTTTTTACAGGCTGCTTCGCGTGCGCCACCGATAATGGCTTCCGTGTATACAACACAGATCCATTGAAGGAAAAAGAACGTCAATACTTCTCTGATGGGGGTGTTGCCCATGTAGAGATGCTCTTCCGGTGTAACTATCTGGCACTGGTTGGTGGCGGTATTCGTCCTTTGTATCCACCGAACAAGGTACTGGTTTGGGATGATCTCAAGAAGGCTCCTGCCATTTCGCTAGACTTTAACGCACCGGTTAAGAGTGTCCGTTTACGGAGGGATCGAATTGTGGTCGTTTTAGAGGGGATCATCAAAGTATATACGTTTACACAGACTCCGACCCAATTGCACGTGTTTGAAACCAGCCAAAATCCTCAAGGACTTTGCGTGCTTTGTCCAAACAGTAACAAATCGTTGTTAGCATTTCCTGGCCGAAGAACCGGACACGTGCAAATCGTTGACTTAGCTAATACGGAAAAAGCTCCACAGGAGATCATTGCCCATGAAACTGCAATCAGCTGCATTGCACTCAATCTGCAAGGAACGAGGCTAGCCACGGCAAGCGACCGAGGCACACTGATTCGAATCTTTGACACAGCCAACGGGAGTAAGGTGGCAGAACTGAGGCGCGGTTCGAATCAGGTAATTCAAAACGATTCGTATGACCTACCATTTTTCACACACACAATCATTTGCATTCTGGATAGGCTAAAATCTACTGTATCAATTTCAATCATCAATCCACGGCGGTTGTCGTTTCATCCGATCACGGCACAATCCACGTGTTCAACTTGGATGAACCGAAGAGCAAAGAATCCTCTAGTTTGCTCACAAAATACTTCACCAGTCAGTGGTCGTTCTGCAAATTTTCGATACCACAAGGTCCACCCTGTATATGCGCTTTCGGAACTGAGAACAATTCGGTGATAGGTATGTGCTTAGAACTAGGAGTGAGGTGTAATTGAATAATGTATTATTTTACCTTTTCAGTGATATGCGCTGATGGTCACTACTACAAGTTTGTATACAACAGCAAGGGCGAGTGTAGTCGAGAAGTTTGCTCTCAGTTTCTAGAAATGACTGATGATCACACATAAATAGACACCGACTGGCGTGACCTGTGGTGAGTTGGACAGTGATGAGAATGGAATTCTGGTGTCTTCGAAACTGGTAGATTTATTTTAACCTGAAAGCAACTGCAACTGTTTGCGAGCAACTCATCCGGTTTTATTTTTAAGATTTTATTTTCTGTTCTATCGAATCTTTTCGGGGCAGAACGGAGCTATCGAAGAGAATATCCTATTGATATACAATAGATTATATGAAGTAACAAATATTACTAATTAAAACTATTACAACTACTTTTACCTTGTATGTCATCTGAAAGTAAGAAAATCTGTTGCAAAATGCACTATTCAATAAAACGTTTTGTTGGATAATTCCAGTGAGGTATTTTATTTAAGATTAAAAACATAAATGACAGTAATTTCAGAAATATTCCATAATTGCATGGCGTTTCCACGAAAAGTAATGTTGGATCAGCTTGATGAATCAGTGCCGTAGTGAGCAAAAAGGCCCCAGCCAAGGGCAACCTGCCAAATGGACAAATTCACAGTTTATACTAGACATTTTTTCCACGACATTTCATTTCATTAACATATTTAATAAATTTTAATCAAGGTTGCAAATGTCCTTTCGCATAAAAATATGTTTTTTTTTTTTTTTTTAATAATGAAATTAAAATATGTTATGATCACATCTTTTAATTGTAAGTTACAAGAAGAGGTTGTGAAGTATATGTTTGACACATACAACATGTCAATAATGACTCTAAATTATTTAGCTTTCGTAGAGTCACAATCAGTGATTTTATGATCGAATAGTGGAGAGTGAAAATTTGTAAAATCACTGATTGCAACCTTGCAACTCTCAGGAGTCCGAAAGCGAAATTGACAGGTTTCATGTGTCAAACAGATACTATGCAACCCCTTCTTGTATGTATCTTACAAGTAAAAAATATGATAACATCTAATGATTGCATAATTCCGAAAATATTGTTTGCTTTTCTGAAATCTTTATTTGCTACCTTGATTTTAATCCATAGGCGTAGCCAGAGAGGGGAAGTGAAAAGGTTGGAAAATTTCCTAGATCTCATATTTGAAAACCTGAATTTATATACCTATGGTTTTCTGGCTTGGTTTTTAGGTTTGATGCATAGGGGGAGAGGGGTCTAAGATTTTGTGACAAGCAATGCATTAGGTATAGGAAACGATAGGGCGCCCACGCATGCTAACACTACCATCAGATAGGGGAAATTTCCTCCTACCTGTTAGTGGCGTTAGTAAGCGTGTGCGAGCTACCAGTTACGCCAAATCGACGATCAAATGCATTGTTTACAAAAGCTGATACGTCCCTTTGAAAAAGTAAATATTAATGAAGGCTCGCGTAAAAATTGAAAAGGGCCTATCCTCGTAGATCGATTCTCTTCATCGACTTTCTCTTTGATTTACCCAAGGGGGGGAGATGGCTGTCAAATACGAACAATCGTCGCCTACCTCGCATAACTGGTTCCAAACGTAAACAAGCCATAAGAAACCTACAGCGTTTGTTTACGTTTGGAACCAGTTTCATACAAGAATGATCAGTAGGCTGATTTGACAGCACGTCCTCTCCAGGATTTACCACGGCAACATAAACGAATTTATCGCTAAGCTCGCAGCACAGTTAGACAGAAGATGATGTTATAGCTTGCGCCTGAAACAACACACTGAATGGGAAATTCATTTGCAGTCGGATTATTCGCGAAAGAGGAAATCGATAAAGAGAATCGACCAACAATGATAGGCCCTTTTCTCGTGTTGCGCGAGAGGGCAATCTTTATGATTTCCTGATTTCCTCTTATTCTTCTTGGGAGGTGACTTGAGCTTAGGATCTGAACCATTTATTGGATTTTTTTAAACTTTTGATTAAAATTTGACAGATGTAAAGTTATCGATTAACCCTGCTATCCGGGCGTGGTTATTTCTGACAGACAAGAAGTTATATTTTGAGTCTTCAGTCACGAGAAAAGGGGTTCCGAAGTTTTGTTTGCAATGGCTGGTGTTGGCCTATTTGGGCTATTTGACAGCTTAATTGGTTCCCGAGATTCTATCTTCAATTATCTTCTTTTCCTTTCGCTTAGATCTCATTCAGCCCTGGCCGTAGGGTAATTGCGTTAGATTCTGCAATCTGTACCGGGAGCTGTGATTGATTAGTTTATGGTTTGCTCTTAAGAAACTTTTGTTAAAGCATACGTTTGAACATTAGTAACGATATTCGACCGTGTGTGAACCCTACATAAATTGATCCTTAAAAACCCTGTTTTTACTTCTAATAAAAAATATTCATAGACAAACGAAAAAAGAAGCAACACAATTTAGTTGGGTAAAGAAGAATTGCATTATATAACACACCGATTATGTGACACTACCCCGAATGTCACTACCCCGAACGCCATAACCCCGAACGCCATTATCCCGAATGCCACTACCCCGAATGTCCTACTACCCCAAATGGCCATTACCCCGAATGCCCTACTACCCCGAATGGCCATTACCCCGAAATTAAGACAAATGAAAGAACAGCAAGGGGTACATTTTTAGAAGGAAATTTCGTTTTGGAATTTATATATATCAGTGCCAACATTTCAAAGGGGCGTAATTGCTTTAGTAACCAATGGCTTTAGCCGTCGATTTCTCGCAAATAAAAGCCCACCCCTCCAAATTACCAATGCTAGCTGGGACAGGAAACATTCATTTACCTGCTGGTGTCATACATTTACATGAGTGAGCTTTCATTCGCGAGAAATCGAAGACGAAAGTCATTGTTTACAAATGCAATTACGCCCTTTTGAAATGTTGGCACTGATATATTTATATTATTAAATGATAATTTTTTATTGGAATTTTGAAGCTTGCAAGCGAGCAAGCTTGTTTTACGCGAGAAGCCCGAGAGATGTCGTTACTGAGGTCCTATATTTTGAGATACTATGTTTTCAAGAAAAACTTTTTCAAAGTGTTATGTCTGTTGTCTGTGATTAAACTCTCTGATTAGTTTCACTTTACTTAATTGATGATGCACTACGTTTACTTTTATGGAACTATGTATTTATCAATTCCAAACCATTTTAAAGCTCTTTAGAAAATGACAACCTTCAAGTTTTCGAGCACTTCGTTCACCATTTAAAAAGTCAAAGGGTCTAATATGCAATCCAATTCAATATGCAATACCAGTCGGAAACTGTTAAACCTTATCAAAGAATTGTTCGACCTGAGTCTAGACCTGAGTTGAAGAATTTCTCGTTATGGATTGAAAAATCGGTGCATGGAACGTTGAACTATCGATTACAAATTTATAACATTATTCCACACGTTATTATCCCAAATGGTCATTACCCCGAATCCCTTGCCAAAAGCTATTGATTACATATTTTCCTTATATATTAAAAGAAGGGAATATTCCCTTCCCTTCTTTATCATACATCAAAAGAATAAATTATTTTCTTTTTATATATTCAAAGAAAGGAATATTCCCTTCTTTATCGTTCATCCAATAATTAATTATTTCCTTTTGTTATATTTTCAAAGAAGGGAATATTCCCTTCTTTATCATATATTTAACGAATTGATTATTTTCTCTTTTATATATTAAAAGAAGGGAATATTACCTTCTTTATCGTATATCCAAAGAATTAATTATTTCCTATTGTTATATTTTCAAAGATGGGAAACCCCCTTGAGCCATTAAGGGGCTGTTCATTAACTACGTAGACAGTTTTTTTGGGATTCTTGACCCCCCCCCCCCCTTTCCCCTGCGCAGACAATTTTCCATACAAAATTTTTAAAATTTGTATGGACCGTGCACAATTGCCAAACCCCCCCCCCCTTCCCTAAACTGTCTACGTAATTTATAAACATATCCTAATAAGTTTTTCTTTTCTTTTTATATACGCGAAAGAATATTCCAGGAATGACTATAATAAACAAAAATAGTCAATCTAATACATGGCATACTTTTCTGGGGAATGGTACATTCTGGGGAATGGTTCATTCTGGGAAATGCTTTTCTGGGGAATGGTGCATTCTGGGGAATGGTTTTCTGGGGAATGTTATAGAATCCTATCATTTGTATTCAGTATAAATTGACCACTTTGTCAAGCAGTTTTGGCGTGACTTTCTACCAGCGATTTCACAAAACTGGACTAACTAATTTTTAATTATAAAACGCACAAATGTTGGCTACTTTTCTCGAGGTTCTAGAAGAAAAATCTCAAAATAATGTTTTATTTCAAAGTTCGAGTGGTAGTAAACGTCATTTTAAGTGCTCGCATGAAGTGGTTAATTAGAAAAGAAAATTTCCTTCTCAAAAATGTATCCCTTGCTGTTCTTCTATTTGTCTTAATTTCGGGGTAGTCGCCATTCGGGGTAGTGTACTATTCGGGGTAACGGCGTTCGGGGTTATGGCGTTCGGGGTAGTGACATTCGGGGTAGTGACATTCGGGGTAGTGTCACAGAATCAACACACCATCGACTGTAAATGCTCTCGCAACGTGGGGCTCTAGGTAGTGATGAAAACGTCGCTAGAACTATTCCACAGCCGCAGTCAGTTTATGAGCAAAAGAAGGACGCACATTTTTTGCCTGTAGACTTGGAGACATACTTCAAGTCTCCGCGTACATTGTACGGGTTAGGCAAAAGATGTGCGTCTAACTTTAAAAACTGTCGCATTAATGGCCCTTCGCTCATTTTCAACTTCTATTCAATTTTCATACTGCCGTACTCTAACGGAACTATCCACCTACCCTCTTATAAAGATCATTCTCTACACAGCAAAAAAAGTTGTTGAATATTACATCGAAACTGCTGCAACCAGGTCAATCCATCGGTTGTGTAATATCACATTGTACGATGTACATCGATTTTGCGAACAAAATTACATCCATTGATGTAATATTGTATCTGCGTTTTGCTATTACATCATTATTTCATACATCAGCTTGAATTACGTTGATCGATATTACATTTTTTTTTGGCTGTGTACCCAACAAACAATTTTAGCTGCAGCTTAGCTTATACAGGCAAACATTAGCTGCATAAGACAAATTTTGGCTGCATAAGCTAATCTGCAGCTTAAATTGTTTGTTGGGTAGCTAATAAATTATCACACTAAAGCTTCATGTTAGTATTTCCATCCAACTCCGAAAAAAGAAGCTTAAAATGCTTTTGCCAAATAAACCAGACGTATACATAGCACAAATACTTCTTTTTATACTAGGATATGTACATATCAGTGCTAACATTTGAAAACGGCGCAAAAGCCCCTACCCGATGTTGCTGTTGTGTCGCGTGGGTGTACTTCAAGTAGTGAGTAAAGGGCCCACAAACCATTTGTTTACAAATGGCTTTTGTGCCGTTTTCAAATGTTAGCACTGATATGAACGATTTTTAAACTATGTTCGTATTCTCTCTATAAGAGCAACCGTAACGGTACGCTGCTAAACTCATTTTAGCAGCCCTCATCATAGCGCAGCTACCGTATCGGGGGTTGCCATACGAGTAACTAAAATAGCAGTCGGCTTCTCGGTGAGAAGTGCGTTACCAAATTTAGCAGCGCGATAGCAGCGCGGGAGAAAGGTTGCTATTCACAGAAATGTCAAAATACTCACTACCGGTACGGACTACAGTGAGTAAATTGATAACCGCGATAGCAGCGACCGGTGTGGAGAAGAGTGACTAAACTAAAATGAGAGCGCTGTGCGCTGTTAAAATAGTCGCGCAAATGACAACGACCGTTACGGTTGCTCTAAGTCGGTAAGGAGAGTTGCGATTTAGTGTAACTTTTAATTTATTTAGATTTGAAAATCTTTTGAGTGTATGCGATGTTATTTATTTTCAGTTGAGGGTATCGGTCTCGGTCTCGACCCTCTTACTCCTCTTAGATCTTGATGAATCTACATAGAGCTGGAAATAGGGCGTAACAGATTTTGTAAACAATGACTTCTATCGATGATTTCTAGGAATTCAAGGCACGTCAACGCAGACTAATCTAACCATCGGATAGGAGAAGTCTTTCCCTAACCGATGAGGTTGTTGGTTTGTGTGGGAACTAGAAATCATCAAGAGAAGTCATTGTTTACAAAAGCTGTTAGGCCCTAATTCCAGCTCTATCTAGGAATGTCGAGTATCATCATCAGTCAGTACTCGCATGTTTTGTGTTCGATTGGGAGCAGAGATGCGTTACTAAATTTGATCGTGCAAGAAATTTCCCTTCACGTCTTCAAAATTTACGTAAACATAAACAAAAGAGTGAAACGTCAAAAACGAACAGAAGGAGGAATCGAATCAAATCGAGAAAAACGAAGCAAAATTTTGTTGGAAATAATATAAAATATTTAGCTTGTCGCTTATAATTTACCGTCAAAACCTAAAATGGAGGAGACCGACGTTCACATCGACGTAAGCGGAAATATGGACACGCCGAAGCAGGAATCAAAATCTGGTTTCAACATGTCCGCGTAAGTGCTGAAGTATGAGTATTATGAACGTCGGAGCACCTTTGTGATGACTCAATCGCTAAATTTAATTAAACGTCATTTAATTTTCTGCTGCACTACAATTTGTTTACAGGTTTACCAGTTTCGCTCGGATTCCGAGTTTGTGGGAACTCCTACGCCTCACCCGACAGAATGTTCGACCCTGGTCAGAATTTTTACAGACATCAAATTTCAAAACCGTAGCAAACATCCCAAGACTCTCGAACCGAATCATTCGCAATTTGGGCTACTTTCAGAGCAATTACTTGTTCGTTTTTCTCGGATTGATTGTCTATTGTCTGTGAGTAATTGATGGTTAGCACGCTCAAGTAATTATTGATTTTCATGCGTTACCCCTCTTTCAGGCTGACATCCCCCCTGATCCTGATCGTTTTGGGAGCCGTATTCTACGCATGCTACAAAATCAAGCAAGCAAACGCTCCAGTGGCTTTCTTCTCCCGACAGTTGAACACAAATCAGCAATGCATTGCGGTTAACGTCGCCTCGATCCCGCTGCTATATCTGGCTGGAGCGGGTGCAGTCATGTTCTGGGTTTTGGGAGCATCCTTCTTTGTGATATCGCTACATGCGGCCTTCTACAATATCGATGCGATCGTTACGGAGGACACGGAATCTTTTCTTACGGAAACAGTCTAAAATAGTCCTTCTAAATCAACGTCAATTGCTATACTATCTTTGTCTCAGTATATTAAGAATGTAGCTTAGAAGCGAAGATACCAGTAGAGTAAATTGTCGGTAGCCGAAAATGAGACGAATTATCAATTGATTGGTATCTGACCATAGAAGCTGTATATCATCACTAAAGCCACTCAGAGCAATATTTTTTTGTGAAATTTGAATATCCACTTACGAATAACAAGCTTGATATCGAAGTAAATATATCAGTTATTATTTATCGTTACTTTTGTATGAAACAAAACTTGTTTGATAATAAATTTCCACACAAATTCCATGATTCTCCAATTTATCTAAATGTGGTAAACTCCAAACTTTTGATCAAGTTATATGGTTCTGTTGTAACACTATAAATTCCGGTTTTCTTAAATAAAATCTCGCTAAAGTTCTATTTTTACAGGCCTTTAGGACAAAATATTTAAAAAAATATTAAAAATTTAATTTGGGTTTGGTGCCAGAAGAATTTAAAGGACTGGTTTAAAAAGTATGGTCAGGTTGTAGTCAGGGTTGCTTCCACTCACTTGCTATAAAAACATATTTTTCGGAATTATGCAATCATTAGATGGTATAATGATATTTTGTACTTGTAAGTAACGAGGAGAGGGTGTAAAGTATGTGTTTAACTCATAAAACCTGTCAATTTCGCTTTCAGAGCGACACAATAAGCGATCTTATGATTCGTGAGCGTTCACTCAGAGTGAGCACTCACGAGTCGTTAAATCGCTGATAGTGACGCACTGAAAGCAATATTGACAGATTTTATGTGTCAAACACATACTCTACGTCCTCATCTTCTAACTTACAAGTACTAACTATAACTATACCATCTCATGATTTCATAATTTCAAAAAACATTTTTTTATAGCAAGTGAGTGGAAGTAACCCTGCTGGACAGGACCGGTAATCGAAGCCGCCGTCTCTGTCTTTAAAATACCATGCCTTTACTGATTAGGCTATCTAAGGCCCCTTCCTATGATCCCGAAACTAACGCTCATTCATTGTACTTTAAGATATAAGTATGTAGTTTTATTTTCATTCTAATCTATCTATGCTTCTTTCTATTATTTTTATACTTTACTAATAATCTGCCTACGTTTCTTTTTCTTTGTTTTCTACTTTATCTGTATTCCCTTTTTATTTTTCTGCTCTTCTTTTGTTTTTTTTTTGCTTAAATATAACTAATATTTATACCTCCTTGCTTTCTCTCGAATTTATCTGCTACATCCCACCATCACGACGAGAGATGAGCTATTCTACATGGTACACGCCCATATGGACTCCTAAAATAGTATGCCGCTAGTAAGTATATCACAAAAACAAGGGCCTGTTCATAAACTACGTAGACATTTTTTTGTTATTCTTGACCCCCCCCCCTCCCCCTGCGTAGACAATTGCCCATACAAAATTTTTAAAATTTGTATGAGCCGTGGATAATTGTCAACCCCCCCCCTCTAAACTGTCTACGTAGTTTATGGACAGCCCCCAACTCAAGATCCAGAAACAAAAACCGATGGCACTGAAGATAATGTGGTAACTTCTACACTGTATTGTTATTTGTACAATAATACCCATATTACTTATTTGAAAACGAGCAAAATTCCCATTGAACTATGACAGGATGCAGGATATAGCACAATAAAGGAGCAAGTTCAAACAAACCACTAAAAATCTGTATAGTAGCATGGTAGAGTCGGAATTTAAAACTACTTAGCAGCGACTTCGGACTTCTCCGGATTCAGTGACCCCATCATGAGAGGAAACGATTTTGGCGAAGAAGTCGGTCCGAGGCAACGACAATAGCAACCCACAAAGCACCCCCAGTCAACCGATGATTTAGCAACACAAGTAAGCCCAGAATTTCGTAGGTAAGGTCACACAATCGTTATATTAACATGCTACCCCAATAGACCCCTATTCCAATGTGTTAGCAGTGCCTTGTTAACCACACTTGGTTGTCTCTTCTGGCGTTCGGGTAGCGGATCCATTGGACAGAGCAGGCGCAGACAACTGAGCCCCCACACGGCTGCAACCTGTGAGTAAAAAAGTAATGACCCCATTTTTCAGCCCCTCTGTGCATCAGACTTTTACCTTTCAATAATTTCGCATAGCTGTAAATTTAAATCTTTCTCATTCATCTTGAAGATGGATGCTTGAGATATACTTTTGTGCAATAAGAGCAATGAAAAAGTGTATGGGTTTCGTAGAACATTATATAGATAAACAAATTTCGCATGCACGACCAATGAGAACGACTTAAAATTGAGTAAGAGCTACTCATATTTGAGTTCCAGTTACTCAAATTCGCAAAAACGTAGGTCACTCATAGAATGAGTAAATTTTCCGACGATTTGCCGAGGAAAACTTCTCGAATATGAGGAAAACTGATTGTGGTTTTAGTCTGTCTACTTGTATACTTCTAACATGTGTACAATTTTCTTAATTTTTCCCCATATTCGAGAAGTTTTCCCCGGGAAAGTGTTAGTAAATTTGCTCAAACTATGTGCACAGAGAACAGACGTCCAACTTCGGTCAGAAACTTGTGTTAAATAAGTGGGAACATCGCCGTTACGTAACGCTAGCATCTCCTGATTTCCCCTATAAATTTTCCACTTTCAACCAATTTGGCGCTAGTATCGATAAATTTTCTGTTGAACACCAGCGCCTTCAGGTTTTCAAAGAGAGTTTTTAAGTGGGGAAGAACAGACGTTGAGGCTCGAAATTTTTTTTTCTAAAAACTAGTGTAAAAATTCCTATTCGACTTAAGCGCCACTAACGGTGACTTCCCCGCTTAAAAACCCTCTTTAACAACCTGATGGCGCTGACGTTGCACAACATATACTAGAAACTAAGTGTTGGTAGCGCCAAGTGGCAGTTTTCAACAGAAAATTTATCGATACTAGCGCCAAATTGGTCTAAAGTGGAAAATTTATAGAGGAGATCAGGAGATTCTAGCACCACGTAACGGCGATGTTTCCACTTATTTTTACACAAGTTTCTGACCGAAGATGGTCGTCTGTTCTCTGTGCTTTAATTTCGATTCTGACTTTGAATTAATTTGTTTAAGTCCTTTCTTCCATAACATCGAGAGAGCTAAATCATTTTTGTTATCCTCCTCTATTAAAGTTGTAATTTATTTCCTCATAAATGGTGTGAATCATGTTTTGTTTGAGGAAATATTTTGACATTATAATAGTCCCACATTTTATAAGGATTGTATACATTGTATTGTTCTATCTACAATGGATGTTTGGATTTCGTATAATAATCAGTATCCAACCTCGATAAACACTCCGTCTTTTATTTGATACATTATTCTTTCAAAATATCATAAAATACACCTCCTTCTGTTTCCTGTTACATTTCACCGATGCATTGAGTTAAGTTCGTTTCATAGTTTAATGCTCCCAACGCTAGTGACAAAAAACACGTTTAAGATTATATACATAAATAATAGCTAACACAACAGTGAACCGTTCGGTAAGTGGGATTTTGTTCAATTGAAAATCAAATCGTTGTAGTTGCTGAGCACATGGTAGGCCGACACGCGACAGCTGGTTGTAGTTCGGACGACCGTTGTACGATCCGCACGTTCAAAGTTGGCCTTTACTGTTTCGTAGTAACGACCGTCGCTGGAAAGAAAAGGAATAGAACTTTAATAATAAAACTAAAATAAATAAAGATAGAAACAAATTGATAAAAACTATTAATAATTCACGATGCGATCAATTTTGTGTTGAAGGGGCCGCAATATTTAGAAACATATCGCATTTAAACCCACCCAATTATAATTGTTTAAAATATTTGTTAGTAAAGGGCGAACACGAAATTATTGCGACACCGAAAATGTCATGCCAATTTTCTTATCCAGCTTTCCATGCTCGGTAATGGCGGCCTGTTTGTATGAATAAATGTATCCTTCACTGTGCTTTTTGACACTAACTGGAGGGCGTATGTTGTTCCATTTTCTACTGTTCCTGGGAGAGGGAAAGGGAAGGGGTTGAAATTCGAACATCCAGATAGTGTCAAAAAGCACAGTGAAGGATACATTTATTCATACAAACAGGCCGCCATTACCGAGCATGGAAAGCTGGATAATGTTTAGAATCAAACCAAAATTTTAGGGTAGTTTTATACATATATTTACTTCAAAAATCAAAAGATGGAGCCTTGAGTGTAAAATTGAACGCATTTTCGCTTGATGCCCTCCATCAAAGTCTTTACAGTGTCATCACAGAGAACAGACGTTGAAGCTCGGTCAGAAACTTGTGTAAAATAAGTGGGAACGTCGCCGTTACGTGGTGTTAGCATCTCCTGATTTTCTCTCTAAATTTTCCACTTTCGACCAATTTGGCGCTAGTATCGATAAATTTTCTGTTGAAAATTGCCACTTGGCGCTACTAGCACTTAGTGTCTAGTGTAATTTGTGCAACGCCAGCGCCATCATGTTGTTAAAGAGGGTTTTTTAGTGGGGAAGTCGCCGTTAGTGGTGCTTAAGTCGAATAGGAATCTTTACACAAGTTTTTAGAGAAATTTTGTTCGAGCCTCCATGTCTATTCTCTGTGGTGTCATCCGGTACCAGTTTCTCAGTTTTTTTTTTCATTTTCTTAACATGTCCTTCTCGTCTTTGACTGTCTTCTTGCTCTTCCGAAGTTCCCGCTTCATTATTGCCCAGTACTGCTCCACCGGGCGCAGCTCCGGACAGTTTGGCGGATTCATGTCCTTTGGAACAAAATGGACAGAATTGGCCTCATACCACTCCAGGACACTTTTAGAATAGTGGCATGATGCCAAATCTGGCCAAAATAGCGGAGCTTCGTCGTGCTGCTGCAAGAACGGCAAAAGGCGCTTCTCGAGGCACTCAGATTTGTAGATCTCGCCATTTACTGTGCCCTTTGTCACGAAAGGCTCACTCCTCAGTCCGCAAGAGCAGATGGCCTGCCAAATGAGATATTTGGAGGCGAACTTCGACATTTTCTTCTTCTTAAATTTGTCATCCACATCGAACTTGCTCTTGCTGGTGAAAAACTCCAACCCCGGAATTTGCTTTAAATCGGCTTTTATATACGTTTCGTCGTCCATCACACAGCAGCCATATTTTGTCAGCATCTTCTCGTAGAGCTTCCGTGCCCGAGTTTTAGCCGTCGATTGTTGCCGCTCATCGCGGTTTGGGAAGTTCTGTACCTTGTATGTATGTAGTCCAGCTCTCTTCTTTGCATTCTGATGGACGTAGCTCTGCGACATGCCGATCTTTTTAGCCAAATCACGGCTTGAGACGTTGGGATTTGCTTTAATCATCCGCTTCACCTTTCCCTCCGTCTTTTTGTTCTCCGGTCCCGGTTTTCTTCCAGCTCCTTTGCCGTGGTCCTACGTCAACCGCTCCTGGAACCGCTTCAACACTCTGGAGACGGTTGAATGGTGAATGTTCAACATTTTTCCCAACTGCCGGTGCGACAGGTCAGGAAATTCCAGGTGTTTGGAAAGAATTTGTTCTCTCAACTCGTGTTGGTTCACCTCCATTTTCGTTGAATCGAAAAACACGACTTCGAGTTTGACAGCATGTACACAATACACATCAATGAGAAAGTGTGCACAATTTGGTTGATTTTTACCCAATGGTAAAAAAGTTATGCCCTGTTGAATGTGTCGCAATAATTTCGTGTTCGCCCTTTACACGGGATTTTTTTTTTGATTATCGAACAAAACAGGCTGAAGGGTCTCATATTTTTATGAAATTTTGCCCAGACAGCAGGGCAAGGCGGATAGAGAACAGTAGTACAGAATTTTCTCACTATGCGGCGCTAATGTGCAAGTCAAAAACCCATTCTTTCTGCTTGAGAGCCCCAGAACGAACCGCTACGTCATTTGAGATATATTAAAGTGGGCTGTTATCCCGCCTACTGTTCGAAACACAACACCTTGATGAATTTTAAATAGGTGTTTACCCGCAAGGGATTCCAACACACTTGTGGCGCAGTGGTTAGCGTTCGTAGATCGCATGCCAAATACACGGGTTCGAATCCAGGAAATTGCTCATTAATTTTTTTTTGTTTGGATAGAATATTGATGCACTGCATAAATAAAAGAATTATGATTTATTTGAGCCACTGAACATTTCATATTTACGTACATTAAATTTTGTTACTAATAAAGAATTGTGTGGATTGCTTTATGTGTGCTATGACGGACAACGCAGGGAACTTTTAAGAAACTTTAAAGTTGCTAAGAAGTTTCACTGGTAGCTTGTTCGGAGCTTTGTTGTGGCCATGTTTTCAGCCTTGCCTGAAGTTCCTAAGAATTGCTAAGGGATGCTTTTTGGAACTTTTTTTGAACTTCAAGTTGCTAGGAGTACTTTATGGAACTTGAAAGTGGGTTTTATTGTTGAATGTGGAACTTTTGGTTGCTTGGGAAGTAAGTTCTGTCAGAAATTTAGTTGAACTTTATGGAACTTGAAAGTTCTGTCAGAACTTTATTTGAACTTTATGGAACTTGGAAGTGAGTTTTATCGTTGAATGTGGAACTTTTGGTTTCTTGGGGAGTTTTTCAAGATATAGCTTATAGATACAGAAAGTTCACATGTACAATAGCGCTGCGTAGTGAGGGAATTCCTAATTTACTTGTGCACCATCACCATTTGGAATGCCTTGATCATCTTACTTATAATGCCGGGGAAATAGCTCTAATGTTGGCCTATGGATATACATCTGGACCTATCGCAAAAAATCTGCTATTTATCAATTTTATCTAGATGAACACGTCATTGGGACGGTACTAATGGATATTTTTGGTCGCTATTGAAACTTTAGTCGATTGCTGAATTTATGTATGGGCCCAAATTAGGGGCATATAGGCCAACATTACATCCATTTCCCCTATATTTCAGAAACGAAATATTGTTATTTACGCATTCAGTTTCAACCAAAGATGGTCGTCTTACCCCGACACATGTTAAACTGTAACAGCTTCTGTAATAACTCATAATTTCATGAAAACTACATTTTTCACTAGTACATCGAACAAACAAAAGCAGGTCGCTGTCATGCGCAATGTTTTTTTTTTTTATTATTTTGACGTTTCACTTGTTATTAAGCTGAATGCGAGGGGCACGCAATTGCCTTTTTGACTGCGTTGGATTTAAAGTACAAGGTGTTCAACTATGTAATTAAGTAATTAAAAATGAAAATTAAGTATTTCATGTAATTAAATTTAATTTCGCGTAATCAAAGCAGTGTCAGTGTAATTACTGTAATTAAACACGTACTTCAATTTGATTACGTAATTAATGTTATTAAAAATTTATTTTTTGTAATTAATGTAATTAAAGTTACACAAATGTAATTAAAAACGTACCTAAATCCTTATGTATGAACTATTTAAAAAAAAACTAAGAAAACCCTCAACACATAATTGAATGAATCAGTTTATTCAAAAACTCTTCTTACACCCCGAAATACGCCCATATATGTTTTACTAGACTACAAACATGACCAATTCTGCGAATACTTATACTAAATTTCTTGAAGCACCATGCTAGAGTTCCCACATAAACAATAACCATAAAAACCACCTAGCCACCAATTCGGGATATCATCCCAACTTTATATGATGTGGTCGTACCATCTATGATATCGTAGGTGTATGGCACCCGTTGATTAGGGTTGGAAACTGAATAGTCCACTCGCGACAATCGATTTCACTCTCGTTTTGTACGTTAAACTTAATTTCGTATCTAGTGCACTGTATTTGTTGAATAATGCGACGTTATGTTTAACATATAGTAAAGAACGAGAATAAAATCCATTGTCACGAGTGGGTTGTATCGGTTTACAACTTTAGCGACAATATACAGTGATAAGGAAGTGATACTCATAATGAGGGTTGTGATTGCCGTACAAATGAAATGGGAATCACTTAATTGTGACGACAAGTGACAAGTTTTCAAGGTCCAATATCAGCTTTAAATTGTTTAATTAGAACCTCAACTTTGAGTCTTCAAATTTTACATTTCCTTAAATTAAAGCAAATCCTCGAGCAATTTCCTCCTGATTAAAAAATGTTCGAATTTTAAGCTATGTTCACAGCGCAGTTCGAAAGATGATGATATTAGCTTGTGCCTGAATTAACAGATTCAATGAAAGATGCATTTGCAGTTGGATTAATTTTCTAATGTTACGCGTGAATTCTTCGATTCTTTCAATATTTCTCTCAAACTAAATATTATAATATAAATAATAATTAGCAGATTTAAGGAAAAGTTCACTGCCAAAAACATACGTTTTGATTTTTATAAAAAATATTGAGAAAAGATATCAATAATATCAATTTTTCTTTTCTTATTATTTTCTAAAGAAAATTCACGTACAAAAACATTTGTTGTAAGTCATTATGGCATAAAGTTAGACTCTAAGAACCCAAAAAAATCGAACTTTTGGCTTTGCTGAGGGTCCAAATTTTTGTCATGATGACACGCAGAAAAAACTATCATCGAAATAAAAATACTTTAGGTAAATATAAACGTAAATTCAGTTTGTTCTGGCCACAAAAATAAACTAGGTTGCTTCAAACGTACTTTAAGTTAAAAGTTATGTGATATCGTATATTCATATCAAAAATAAACGTGAATATTCTTGTT